TCACAAGCTTCAAAATCTCCCCTCCCCCTACCACATCCCAAAACCAGTCCAGCTCGTCCCCGCCTCCCTAACCTGTTCTTCCTCCCACCTATCCCCTCCTCCCACCTCAAGCCGCACCTCCATCTCCTACCGACCAACCTCTTCCCGCCCCCTTGACCTGTCCGTCCTCCCTGGACTGACCTATCCCCTTCCTAACTCCCTACCTACACTCACCTTTACTGGCTCCATCCCCGCCTCTTTGACCTGTCTGTTTCCTCTCCACCTATCCTCTCCTCTATCCATCTTCTATCCGCCTCCCCCTCTCTCCCTATTTATTTCAGAACCCCCTTCCCCTCCCCCATTTCTGATGAAGGGTCTAGGCCCGAAACGTCAGCCTTTCTGCTCCTATGATGCTGCTTGGCCTGCTGTGTTCATTCAGCTCTGCACCTTGTTGTCTCGGATTCTCCAGCATCTGCAGTTCCTCCTATCTCTCATAATCACCTACTTCTCTGTTTCTGTGCTTTCCTGCTCATTCCCCATTCTCTTTACGAGCTTTTTTTCTGAACCAACTATCTGAGTCTTCGTTAAAATAATTTATGGGTTGTGCTTCAACAAAGGTTCTTCAGCTGAAAATTTCATGTTATAGCTAATCTGTGCAAAGATTTTTCCCCTAACCTCTCAATTATTTTTCTTTTGTGGTTCTCTGAAATTTGTAACCTTTCATTACCATTTTACTTCCTCAATTGAAAGAAATACTCAGAATTCGGCAGCACAGATGGGCACATTTCAACCCATTCTGTATCTGTTGGGTTTTTGAAAGAGCAATCTAATTATTCTCACTGGCCTGATCTTTGTCTGTAATCCTGCAATTTTTATTTTCCTTTATAAGTACATATTTAGAATGAAAGCTACTCTTGAATCTATTTCCACCACCTTCTTCAGCAGTGCATTCCATTCTCAAGAACTTTCAATGTAGAAAATAATAATTACTACCATTTTTTTTTCCCCTGGACTTGTGCCAATGTCTTAAATCTGTATCCTTTTGTTACTGACACTTCTACAAGTTGAAGTAGTTTATTGCTAGCTACGTTCTCCATTCATAATTTTGGATATATCTATCAAATCTCCCTTGAGTTTTGTTGTTCATTTAATTGTGAGGGCAGCATTTTTAAATATACATATTTATTCCAGGAGTCACCTCTTAGATATCAACATTCCTTGCCGCACATTTTAAAAAAATGCAGGATCCACCCCCACTCACTTAAGCCGCTCATCTATCTTGAAGTAATAGAGTGTGTCCTACTTAGGTTGCAACGATGAATTTATTGTGAATCAACGCAATTTGAATTGGTAAACATAAAGCTGCTTCTACTGAGAGCATTGACAAAGCTGAGAAAATAATTGTTGAATAAGTGGAAAACATTTCTGCACAGCTGCCATGAGTTCCGAATTAATGTTTTAAGGAATTATAAGAATTTTTTTAATCGATTCGCAGTTTGTGAGCAAACTATCATGTAATAAGTGGGCTGGTTTAAGAATGTCTTGTTCAGAATTTGTCTAATATTTTTTAGGCAAAATCATGACAGAAAGAATGGACATGCTTATAATTATGTATGTGCCTTTCATGTCCCATAAAGCCGCTAAGTGTTTCATAGTCAATGAATTATAGTCAATATTTTTAAGTAGGGAAACTCCTCAACCAACAATTTTGTCAGAAAAAAAAAGTGTCAACGCGCAGCATCTAGGACAGGGGTAGCAGCCATCAAGGGAACTCTTGTCTGCTCTTCTGCTGCCGCATGTGTTGACAATAACAGAACTAAGATTCTCATTGACAGTTCCCATGCTCCACACCACATTTTTGTAATCCCTCCAAAACACATTCAATGGTTGTCACAGTACGCTGCTATTCATCATCCTTAGGAGCTGCATCAAGGCGACATAGTTCACACGTGCTGAAAGAGAGGGGAATTGTTCATGCGATTCCATGGGAGGTGTATTCTTGTGCGGGCAACAGAGGTGAAATTAAAAGAAAACACAAGTAAAATGGATTGCAAGATCACCCTCATTTATTACAAATCATTTCAGAGTCTTGTCAATAAATCTTAAAATAAGGAAGAGAAGGTTAATTTTTATCTGTGATTGATCAAATTGATAAGTGATCAGAAAATTTCAACTCAGTAGGTAATGAAGTAATAAACTGCTATTGATCATTGTTTATTACCTGTCCTTATAGCTGTGACATGCCCTGATGTTAATAGTATCCGTGTAGATCATGGGGACTGGAAGCTATTATGTGGAAATCCAAATCAATATGGAGCTCAAGTCATTATCATTTGTGATCCAGGATATTACCTGCAAGGACTTAGGGTCATCAATTGTCAGGCCAATGGTACTTGGAGTGCAGGAGAGCCGAAGCCCACATGTAATAGTAAGTATGTCATCATGTACTAACACACAGGTTAATATTTTAAAATATCAGCCATGAGCTGATTATAAAACATTCTTGTCAGAAGGAGAGCCATTTCCTTTTAGCTGCTCATGTGTCTGTTTACAGGCAGAACACAATTGAAGCTGTTTATTGATATTCATGACTGACTCATTAACTGATTTGGTATATCAGTACTTAATACTGAAATCAAGCAAGACTCTTGAGTATAAAGCAGAACATAACTTAAACAAGAAATTAGCAGGCTAGAAGGGGCCCCGAAATGTCCCTGGCAAGTCAGATTAAGGAGAATCCCAAGGCATTTTATATATATATTAGGAGCAAGATGGTAGCGAGGGAAAGGGTAGGTCCACTCAAGGACAAAAGAGGAAGTGGATGAGGTCCTTACTGAATAGTTTGCACCTGTATTCACCAAGGGGAGGGACATGGATTATGATTAGATTAGGGAGAGGTATGTTGACATCCTGGGTCATGTCAATATTAAGAAGGAGGAGGTGTTGGGTGTCTTGAAAAACAAGATAAGGTAGATATGTCCCCAGGACCTGATGGGATCTATCCCAGGATACTTACGGAAGCAAGTGAAGAAATTGCTGGGGCTTTGACAGAAATGTTTGTATTCAATTTAGCCACAGGAAAGGTCCAAGAAGGGTGGAAAATAGCCAATGTTGCTATTTTGTTTAAAAAAGGCAGCAGGAATAAGCCAGGAAATTATAGGCCAGTGAGCTTTATATCAGTGATAGAGAAATTATGGGGTAGATTCTTAGAGACCGTATTTACTCACAATTAGAGAAGAATGGACATATTAGCGATAGTCAGAATGGGCTTTATGCAGAGAAACCTTGTCTCACAAACTTGTTTGATCTTTTTGAGGAAGTAACAAAGATGATTGATAAGGGTAGGGTAGTGGATATTGTCTACCTGGACTTAACTATAGCATTTGACAAGGTCCCTTATAGTAGGCTGTTTCAGAAGATTCAGTCACATGGGATTCATGGTGAGTTGACAGTTGGAACAGAATTGACTTGGTCATAACAGACAGAAGGTAGTTGTGGAATATGTTTTTTCTGACTGGAGGTCTGCGACCATTGGTGTTCTGCAAGGTTCCGTGCTGGGACCTTTGTTGTTTGTAATATATACAGAAATGATTTGGATGAAAATGTAGGTGGTCTGCTTAGTAATTTTACAGACAACATGAAAATTGGCGGAGTTCTGGATGGTGTAAAAGGTTATCAAACTATACATCAGAATGTAAATCAGTTGGAAAGTTGGATGGAGAAATGATAGACGGAGTTTAATCTGAAGTAGTTTAAGGTAATGCATCTTGAGAGATCAATACAAGAGGCAAGTGTATATACATGGCAGGACCCACAGGAGCATTGATATACAGAGGAATCTTGGGGTACAAGTCAATAGCTCCCTGAAAGTGGCAACAGAAGTGGATAAGGTGGTAAAGAAGGCATCTGGCATGCTTGCCTTCATCAGTTAGGGCATCGAGTTTAAAAGTTGGCAGGTCACATTAATTAGGACACATTTGGAGTCTTGTGTACAGCTCTGGTCACCACACCATCAGAAGGATGTGGAGGCTTTGGAGCGGGTGCAAAAGAGGTTTACCAGGATATTGTCTGGATTTGAGTGTATTAGTTTTCAGGAGCGGTTGGACAAACTTGGACTTTTCTCGGTAGAGTGTCAGAGGCTGAGGGGTGACCAGATAGACGTATATAAAATTATGAGACATGGATAGGGTGGATAGTCAGAGTCTTTTTCTCAGGGCAGAAATATCAAATATTAGGGGCATAGGTTTAAAGTTTAAAGTGAGAGGGGAAAAATTTTAAGCAGATATGCGAGGCAAGTACTTACACAGAGGGTGGTGGGTGCCTGGAACCCGCTCTCAAAGAAGGTGGTATAAGCAGATACAATAGCAATGTTTAAGAGACATTTAGACAGACATATGAACAGGCGGGGAATAGAAGGATAAGGACCATGTTCAGGCAGATGGGTTGTGTTTAAAATGGCTTCAAAGTTGGCATAAGAATGGTTAGCCAAAAGGTCTGTTCCTGTGCTGTACGGTTCTTTGTTCTGTCAGGAATTATTATTTTGAGCTAAGTGCATTGATATATCGTCTGTTGTTGTGTTAGGTAGTTCAGCATAGAGGGTTTCCAGCTTGATGCACACTATCTGCTAGGTTATTTTAGCTCAATTTTATGGAGCACTACAGTTGGTTTAGCTTCCATGGATTGAGGAGGAAAAAGCCAGCTAAGTTTCATTGTTCACTTGCCTTCCTTTCTGTATGTATCCTTCTCCTCTTACCTTAAACTTATGTCGTCTGGTTTTGAACTCCCCTATCCTGGGGAAAAGACTTTGACTATTCACCCTATCCATGTCCCTCATGATTTTATAAACTTCTATAAGGTCACGCCTCAGCCTCTGACACTCCAGAGAAATAGCCCCAGCCTATTCAACCTATCCCTATAACTCAAACTCTCGAACCCTAGCAACACCCTTGTAAATCCTTTCTGAACCCTTTCAAGTTTCACAAGATCTTTCCTATAGCAGGGAGACCAGAACTGAGCGCAGTATTCTAGTTGTGGCCGAACCAATGTCCTGTACAGCCGCAATATGACCACCCAACTCCTACATTCAATGCATTGACCAATAAAAGCAAGTGTACCAAATGACTTCTTCACTACCCTGTCTACCTGCGACTGATAGGCTGTTTACATATGCTGAATAGGGTAAGGACATTGGCCTTGATATTTTGCAGGGAAGGCAGGAAAATAGGGGTAGGTGCCCGTAGGCTAGAATTCAGGAACTACTAAGAAAACAGAGGTCCTGTCAAATTTAATGGTAGAATTTCATTTGCAAGTTTGTTTGTTTTTTGCTACCTGGAAACCAACCAGATTCAGAAACCAGAGACAATCCCAGAAAAGCGATGAAAATTGGAGGTTGCTGGGTCAGTGGAGGGAATGAACCCTGGGTTATGTCAGTGAGGATAGAGACAAAGGTTATTTGAGATTTTGGGAAATACAGCTTTTCATTCAATCCTGATTGAAAAGCTCAGTAAATCAAAGTAGCAAAGCTGGCAAATGCTACATTTTACTTTAATACCAGATACATATAATTTGTTTACTTTGAAATGTCAAACTGATTCAAAGGAAATTATTTACAGATGGAGCACCTTGGCTTATTGACCAGACCTCTACTGATTTTGACTTTTGCAAGGTCAGATACAGTGAACCTTCTCATTTAGTTCCATCTTCATGTCAGCTGTATATCCTCTTCAAACAACACCTTCTCGTTGGAAATAAATCCACAAAGATAAAAACAGAGAGATGAAAGGAAGATATTACAATTAATTCTAATTCTTCATCGTTGTGCAATTCGCTCTTACGGATTTATTTGCTATCCACTTCTCTATTCCATATCAGAATGAAAGGTTATTGTCAGGCTGAAATTATGGGAGGTAGATGATTCTAACAAATGCATGTTAGTGCAAGATTGTATCTTGTTATGAAATTTCTCTGCTATTTTCATGCATTTGTTAATTCATTCACAATTATCAAGATAAAGGATGTGTTAAACAGCATGAGGAGAAAGTGTGCACAAATCTGCTAGCCGGGTTTGTTATTATTGAAGCAGTTCACCCTGTATGTGTCAGAGCTGTCCAGGATAGTGGACGTTTACCTGAATTGGATGTCTTTTTGCCCTTAAGTTTGCAAAATGCCGTTAAGGTCATGACCAATTAAGCATCTCTTAAGCAAGTAATCACATTAAATCACCTCTCCATTCTCCATCTGAGTAGTAATCTGGCAGAGCAGATCAACTGGCAATGCCTCAGTGTAAAAACTCTTATCTTTATAAACACCTTCAACCTAACCTCAACATGTCCTACAAACCCAGGAATTTCTGTGCTCCTCTGACATTGTTGTTTCTGCACCCCTGAAAGCAATTGCTTCTTTTGTTGAAGTGTTTTATTCAGTTATTTAGACCATAGATTCTCTCCATACTCCTGTCTGCTTCTTTACTAACACTCTAACACCTTTGTCGTAAAGGCTACCCTATCATTTGCTTTTCTAATTGATTTGTGAACCTACAGTCCATTCTGATATAACACAATAGTTCCGTTCTCATGTGATCTCACATTATAAGAAAATTGTGCAATAGCCGCGCCATTTAAACTAATCGGGCTGGAACCATGTTATAGCCAATACAGGTAAGGAAAGTTTGCGTTCTACAAATAATTGTCTAAATTCTTCAATCGCATTAAAGCCAATTACACACGTTACATCAGAAGAGAAACACACGTTATATCAGAACCCCCGCATGTGTACAAAGTCACCCAGGACTTACTGACTATCAAGATTTCTCACCAGTTAAACTGTGTTGCTTTTCAATTTTTGTACCAAATAAATAACTTCCAATTTATATTGTATTCCATGTTCCATCTGCTGTCTATTCACTATACATGTAACCTGTTTACATCCTTTTGCAGTCTCCTTGTGTCCTCCTCACAGCTTACTTCCCCAGTTAACTTTGTATGAAACAGCATATAGGGCTCTGTTTGTTTCCTTCCAATCCATAGGGATAATTTGGAGTCTGGAGGATTAAAACTAATGCTTCCACTGTCACTTTAGTCACATGTTGTGAAGGCCTAGATTCAGGCCATCATTCCCAGTGGAATCAGCAGCCTATAGTCACAATAATTTCTCAGATACTATTTCTTTACTCAAACTGATTTATTTTAGTTCCACATTCTTACTAGTCCATCATTTCCAAACTACTCCTGGACTTTTTTGTGTTTTCTATCGTGAAGACAAACAGAAAACATTTTGTTTGTCTATGCTAATTTCTTATTCATTGTTACAATTTATCTTCTCTCCACCTTTAAGAGGCCCATGTTTGCTTTTACTGATCCTTTTCTTTTCCATAACTGTAGAAACTTCTTTAATCTATATTTTGATCTCTTCTAAGTTTACTCATTTTATTTTCTTCCTCTTAGATATCCTCTGCTGAACTCTCAAATCTTTCCAATACTAAAGTTTACTATTAATTGTGGTAGCTTTCCAAGCCTCTTCTTTACGCTGTGTTTAAACACTTCTTATTAGCCATAGTTTGATCACTTTGGATCAAGTTTGTGAAACAGTGGGAGAAAGGGGAAGAGCCATCTTCAAAGGTTTCCTTTTCAACATCAGAGTCTCCCTTCTAAAGATAGTAGCTTCCCAGCAACTTGTTATGACTGTATGTGGAATGCGCTGCCGGCAGTGGTAGTGGAGTCCGATACTTTAGAGACTTTTAGGCGACTCTTGAAAAGGCACATGGAGGATAGTAAAATGTAGGGTATGCAGGGTAATTTAATCTTAGTCGGATAACAGGTCGGCACAACATCATGGGCCGAAGGGCCTGTACTGTGCTGAACTGTTCTATGTTCTTCTATGTTCTATGTTCAATAGGCGAGTCAGCTTCTAGTTGATTTCTCTTCCAAAAGGGGAGCTGTCCAAACCGTTCCTCTTAATTTTCAGCCACGGTGTTCACTATTGATACAGTTACTATTATTTCCTTGTCTTCTTGTTTATGTTGGAAACATAAGAACTGCTGCAGTGACACCACAGAATCTGTATTAATTGAAAATGCACGGAATACCAGAGTAGCAACCTAGATGACAGGTAAAACAGTAGCTTTTTAGGCATTGAAAGATCTCCAGAGTGGCATATCTTACAGTAGAACTTTGAAATAAAGTTAATCGTCTGTGCAAATTTTATAAGACCATAAAACAAAGAAGCAAAAAGAGGCCATTCAGTCTATTGAGTCTGCTCTGCCATTCAATGAGATCATGGGTGACCTAATAACTTGAACTCTACTTTCCTGCCTTATCTCCATAACCTTTGATTTCCTCACTGGTTGAAAATCTGTCTATCGCAATCTTGAATATACTTCATGAATCCAACATCTACAGCCCTCTGCAATAAAGAATTCCACTATTCCAATAAAGATGCACTATCCTCTGAGAGAAGAAATTCCTCCTCATCTCTATCCTAACTGGGTGACTCCTTTACCTGAGATTATCAGCTCTGGTCCTAGACTTTCCCATAACTTGTCTGCCTCTGGGCTATTAAGAATTTTGTTTGTTTCAGTATTCTCACACTGAACAAGACATGTCCACAGCACTTCAGAACACTCAATAATTAATTAACATTACCAATAGGTCCACTTCTACAGATTGTCTGAGTGAAAGCCAGGTTTTGTGTTACTCACCTTTAAATTACACTGAAAATAATTTCCTAACAGATAGGATGATGATAATTAGATGAAGCGAAGAAAATATTCTCTCAGTCAGGAGGCAAAGAGCATGTTTTGAGGTATCCAACTTGTTTGCTGACCCGTAAACCTTGTTTCTGCCTCTCTGTTCTGAGAAGTTCTAGTTCTAACGCAGTGTACATTTTGGGAAAGCTGTCATATTGGACAAAGAGAAATTCTGAGCAGTGTTTGATGTGCAAAGTTTTAAACATGTCTGTGTCTGGATTCTAACCGACCAAAATGTTGCAGGAAAGCAAGTATTTCAAAAAGGCTGAACTGTTAAAATTAATTTTTTTTTGTAATTCTTCAGTAATCTCATGTGGTGAACTGCCATTTCCTCCAAATGGCAATAAAATTGGAACATTAACAGTATATGGAGCGACTGCCATCTTTTCCTGCAATACCGGATACACAATGGTGGGATCCCGGGTGCGGGAATGTCAGGCCAATGGGCTGTGGAGCGGAATGGAAGTGAAATGCCTTGGTCAGTATTTGGTTGTATTTACATACCAGTGTGTAAAAAATACTGTTTGTCTTGTGAGCTGTGAAGTTTTGTTTATTTTGTTTTACTTGTCATTATTTGTATCAATTTTAGTTCTAGAGAATTTTCAACAAATAGCAGTGAATCTTAGCTGTACCAGTGAATCACAGCTTGACCATTGCTTCTGAAATTTCACAATTAAGTGCGAACATTAAACAAAGACGTACCTGCTAATGAATTCCAGGAAGATCAAGTTGAGACTTTTTGCATCTGTCACTTTTCCCTTTTGATTTGTCATTGGATTCACGTAATGTAATCGTTCAGATACAGTATTTGGGATTAATCCTTTTAAAACCAGCTTTCCTCTAAACCAGCTATTCTAATTTTATAGACAAGTTCCCAAATTAACCTTCCCTAAGTTATGACATTATACTTGAAAGTATTAAAACTTGTCAACAGGCTCAACACGAAGTCTCTCCACATAAATAGCTTAAACGCTACTATTGTTTTTGTCATTTTTGTATTCTGTCCTGGAGTTGGAATCGATCAAGTCATAAATGGTGCTGATTGCAGCATTTTCTTTGCTTCAGCTGGTCACTGTGGGATGCCTAAGCCCATTGTCAATGGTCAAATAATTGGAGAAAATTTCAATTATCGTGGGACAGTGGTGTACCAGTGCAGTCCAGGTTTTCGCTTGATTGGAACTTCAGTCCGAATTTGCCAGCAGGACCACCAGTGGTCAGGCAGATCACCTGTATGTGTGCGTAAGTATTGCTTCAGAGTGTGATTTAATAATCAATGAAGGGAAGCCAAGTACCTCTGGTGAAACTGTTCTGTCTTTCTTCCTTTTCAAATTGTCAATATATCTTCAAAAGTTTCTTATTTTCCTGAATTCAGTGACTTAGCTCACTTGGGTAAGCGAGACTTTTCTTTCACATAAGTTGTACAGAGCATGACTATTGCTGTTAAGTCATTCAAAATAATACATGTCGAGAGATTTATATAAAGGCTTGCAGAAGAAAGGTGTTGGGGGTTATGAGGTAAGGATCCTGGAACAATGCTGTGTCTTGCATTTGATGTTATTCCACTATTACGGGTTACATTCAATTCGCTAGGAGTTAATTCCCCGAAAGGTGTATTACCTAGGAAGTAGGATTAGGACCACTAATGGAGGTGCCAGACAGACTGGGTCAAACCTTCCAGCAGGGCACTCACAGTTGCCCTGCTGCTCACATTATTCTCGTTTATGCAATGTACCATACCAGGCTGCACATTTCTGGCTTATTTTCTGAAACTGATCTTTTCAGAGTGTACCTGGAATAGACTAAGTGCTAAAAAGTGGGACTAATTTAGAGTAGTTTTCTTTTGTTAGCACAGACCTGATGGGCCAAAGAGCCACTTCTGTGCTGTATGATTCTGTGACTCGATCATTCCTTCTTCGTAGTGCAAGATCACCAGGGGAAGCTAAGCCACATCTCTTTGTTAAAGCTGAGAGGCTGAGTTGTGAGATCGGTCTAGGAGGGATCAAAATATCAGGGGGTGTCAGAGGGTCAGAGAGGAATTGGGATTTGGACGGTCAGGGGGAAGGGCGTAAGGGATGAGTTGTACCAGTACACAGGAATTAGACATGGTATAAAACTGTCTAACATTTCCAAGGAAATGATCCAGGTAAGCAAGTCAGATTTCTCCCACAACAACAAACACATAAGTTGCTGGAAAAGCTCAGCAGGTCTGGCAGCATCTGAGAAGAAAAAATCGGAGTGAACGTTTCGGGTCCAGTGACCCTTCCTCAGAACTGATGGTAGCTGGGAAAACATTGCCTTATTTGCAGAAATTAGGGAGGTGAATGGAGCAGGGAGTAAACGATAAGATAGAGCCTGAAGAGAGAGAAGAGCAGTTGGATAGACAAAGGAGTTGATAACGATCTGACTAGGAGGGCGAATAATTGTTAATGGGGACTGCTGGTGACTCACAATAGTTAGTGTGTAATGGCAGGCTACATGATAAAAAGGCCTGGTGTGTGGAGTAGGGGGCTGGGACATAGGACAGTTCAGGCTCTAAAATTATCAAACTTGATGTTGAGTCAGAGGGCTGCAGGGTCCCCAAGCAGAAAATGAGGTGTTGTTCTTCCAGCTTGCGTTGAGTTTCGCTAGAACACTGCAGCAAGCCAGAGACAGACATGTTGGCCCCTACAACCCCATGGCACCTTTCCCTACAACCAGCGAAGGTGCAACACCTGCCCATTTACCTCCTCCCTCCCCACTATCCAAGGGCCCAAACATTCCTTCCAGGTGAAGCTGCACTTCCCAGAATCTAGTCTACTGCATTCGCTGCTCATATTGTGGACTCCTCTACATTGGAGAAACGAAGCGTAGACTGGGTACTCGTTTCGCAGAACATCTATGTTCTGCTCGCAAAAAAGACCCTGAGCTACCTGTTGCCTCCCACCTTAACACACCACCCTGTTCCCTGGCCAACATCTCTGTCTCTGGCTTGCTGCAGTCTTCCAGTGAAGCCCAGCGCAAGCTGGAAGAACAACACCTCATTTTCCGCTTGGGGATCCTGCAGCCCTTCGGACTCAACATCGAGTTCAATAATTTTAGGGCCTAAACTCTCCCATGCCCTACTCCCCTACCCCACACTCCAGACCTTGTTACCACATAGCCTGCCATTACACACCCACTGTTGTTAGTCACTAACAGTCCCCATTAACAATTATTCACCTTGCCCGACCAGATCATTATCAACTCCTTTATCTGTCCAACTGCTCTTCTGTCTCTTCAGGCTCTATCCAATTGTCTACTCCCTACCCCGTCCCCCTCCCTAATTTCTGCATACAAGCCGACGTTTTCCCAGTTACCATCAGTTCTAGGAAGGGTCACCGGACCCGAAATGTTAACTCTGATATTTTCTCTGTAGATGCTGCCAGACCTGCTGAGCTTTTGCAGCAACTTCTGTTTTTGTTCCTGATTTACAGCATCCACCGTTCTTTTCTTTTTTATTCAGATTTCTTCCAAATCGCTGACTCCAACTCGGCTTTCAGATATTTGCACAGGATTCAACAGACCTAGAGAATTGCCCATTGGGAATTTAAATTTCCTGGGCAATTCCCACAGTTTCAGTCCCTCAGGAAGTCCAAGGGCTGTCAGTGCATACCTATTGCTTACCTGGAAACTGGAAGCTCTCCACCTGTGATATTTTTCTTCTGCCAAATTTCAATCAAAACTCAAAAGTTAAAATAACAACCCAACTGCAATTTTCTGTACGTGTATTTGAGGGTTCAGAGATCCAGAGTCGGGGGGAAACGGGGATTTCAGCGTGATGTATTCCTACATCAGTGTGAGGCAGTGGCGAAAGGGTCTTTGGTATGTTGTGAGATGTTTGCATCTGAAATTGTGGAATAGAGATGTCCATTCAAGGGCCTGGCTTGTCATCCACTACCAGTGCACAATGTTTTAATACAGGTTCCACATGTTCTATTTTTCTTGTATTCTATTAGGAATGTCACCATCATTGACTAAACCAGGATTTACTGCCCATCCCTAATTACTTTTGAAAAGGTTGTGATGAGCTGCCTTCTTGAGCCATAGTGCTGCTTTAAGGCAGTTCCAGAGTTTTGACCTCGTGGTAATGAAGGATTAGCGATATAGCTCTAAGTCAAGAAAGTGTGTGCCTTGGAGGGGAACTTGCAGTTGGTGGTGTACCCATGCATCTGTGCTCTTGTACTTCTAAATAATAGATATCATAGATTTGGAAGTTCCTGTCGAAGGAGCCTTCATGAGTTGATGCAGTGCATTTTTTAGACAGTAAACACTGCTATTTCTTGTAAAAATTAATGCAAGTGGTATGTTAGGGGCTCGATGGGTTTTAACTGCCTTGATTGCTTAGGATAGATTTTATTTTGATGTCCAATGGCGTGCTAATTTATAACATTGAAAAGCAGAAAGGAGCACACATGAATTGAATAATCTTTCAGCAGTTGACAAGTCCACATGCACATTTCTAAAATCTGGTTAACTGCCGTGCTCATTTTAAACAATAGCTCAATCCTTTGCAATAAAAAGAAAGTGGCTCACTGGTGCTGGTGAGTTTTTGAGTTCTTTCATTCTTGCTAAAGACAGTCATAACTCACACTGGTAGAGCTTTTGAGTTATGAATCGTTCTGGAATGTGAAAGAATAGAACCAATTTACTGTTACCAGTCAAATTCAGCACACTGGGAATGAGCAAAGAATTGACTAATGGTTGGCACTGCACAGTTTATACTGAAGAAGTGGTGACATTTCACTTCCAGTTGATGTGAACCAATCTATTGTTTTAATGTTAAGTCCTGTTCAGTGTATATGAATCATGTACTGAGTTTGCTTATATAGGGAACTAAGTGCTTTGAGTATATCTCTGTGCACTCAATTTCAAGCCTAAGGGTTTCAGAATTAATTCTGCGTAGACAAAAGAAAAAATGACAGTCTTCCCAAATTCCCCAGAAGTATTGTTGCTAACTGTAACCCTACAAAAGGAACATAGGCCCTTAAATCACCTCACAACAACAACAAGTGGGTTATTCCTGGTATCCAAGGCAGTATCTTCAATGGACATGGATGGTGATTATTATTTTGATTGAAAATGGATCTTTCATTCACCTGTATACACTCTTAGATATTCGACATTCTCTAGTTAGCTTTTCTGTAGTGTATATCTGATCCCACGTCTTGTATCTCTATGCTTATCTGATTTTAGTTTCAAATGGAGAATTATAAAATGTTTTGAATTATCCATGGAGGACGGGCTGGTTAGAGTTTGAGAGCTTCACTGGAAGATATTGCTGATTGATTATTTATTACCAAATAGTTGTTGTTTTGTTTTCTTCTTGCAGCAATTACATGTGGACATCCTGGTAATCCAGCTAATGGCATAACACATGGAACTCAGTTTAACCTGAATGACATTGTTCGGTTCACCTGTAATCCAGGATATACACTGTATGGGGCCATTAGCTCCCAATGTCAATCTAATGGACAGTGGAGCAATTCACTTCCGACATGTCAAGGTAAGAAGTATGAAGCATTGTGCAGTTTTAACACTTCTTCAGTGATATTAAAACAGGGTAGAAAGGAACTTCATATTGTCTTACTTTCCTACAGTTGTCAATTGTTCAGATCCTGCACATATTGAAAATGGCATTCGTCGAGTGCAATTAAACGTCGCACAAAGGTTCAATTACGGTAGTACCGTGTCGTATGAGTGCAATCCCAGATACCACCTGTTGGGATCAGACGTGTTGACCTGTCAAGGAGATGGTTCCTGGGATCGATCTCTTCCAAAGTGTTTTTGTAAGCGATTTTGATGCCTTAATATTTAAGAAATGAAGAGTCTGTTTATTGTCAAATTGTTAGTCAAGTTGAGGCGATGGCCCGGTGTTATTATCGCTGATCTGTTAATCCAGAGACCCAGGTAATGTTCTGAGGACCCAGGTTCAAACCCTACCATGGCAGACAGTGGAATTTGAATTCAGTAAAAATCTAGAATTAAGAGGCTGACGGAGATGTGAGACTATTGCCAATTGTCGGAAAACCCCATCTGGTTCACTAATGTTATTTAAGCTTACCATCCATACTGGTCTGGCCTACATGTGACCCCAGATCCACAGTAATGTGATTGATATTTAACTGCCCTCTGGGTAATTAGGGATTGGCAATAAATATTGGACTAGCCAGCGATATCCACAACCTGTGAATGATTGAATAAATAAATTTATCAATGCCAGTTACAAAATCCTTTCTAACATAAATTGGAAAGTTATCTCATAATATTTAAACTATCAAGTAATTATCAATACTTTGCACTTTTCACATTTTTTTTGTTTGCAACCACAAACCATCCCAGTCAAAAGATACATAATACAGTGATCCATAGAACTTTGGTCCAGTACAAATCATGGTCGATCGAGGAAAAGGGGAGAAAAAGTCATTAGCACTTTTTCAAATCAGAAAATTCAGAGGTCCTATCATCTCATTATGCTGGTCACCAAGGAGAACAAATGTATTGAACACTATGTTATTTCATGACTGAAGGAGCTCATAATATTCTGTAAAGAAAAGCTGCAGTTAAGCCAAAAAAATCTTTCCTGCTATTTCCTTTCAAAAAAAAATGTTGAAGAAATTCCTGTATGGTAATCAGTTTATGTCCCCACTTTCCATCCCTTTATATATCCTTTTTGAGAAATAGAGCTTAAAGCCTGTCCAGTATAATGATGAGTGGAGTGGAATGAAGTTGTACCACGGTTGCTATGGTGACAAGTAGGCTGTTTCAGGAGCAGTGATAGAAATCGCTGCAAAACTTCGTCAGAACCTGATGAAGAGTCAATGGACTCAAAACATTAACTCTGCTTTCTTCCCACAGATGTTGCCAGACTGCTGAGTTTCACCAGCAATTTCTGAGTTTGTTTTAGATCTCCGGCATCTGCAGTTCTGTGTTTTATCTTAGAATATTTCAGAACACTGACGGCCAATCTAACAGTCATTCATTGTTTTTGATGTGCTGGGCATGCTCTGATTATAGTTCAAATGCCACAAAAGTATATCTGAAGTTCTTGAGTGCAAACTGTTGTGGGAACAGTCTCAGGAACATATGTGTGGGATTATTTAATCCCCTGTGATTTGTTTGCGATGACTTCATAGAATCATAGAATCCCACAGTGTAGAAGCAGGCCATTCAGCCCATTGAGTTTACACTGACCCTCCGAAGAACATCCCACTCAGACCCACACTCCTATACTATCCATGTAACCCTGCATTTCCCATGGGTAATCCACCTAGCCTGCACACCCCTGGATACTATGGGTAATTTAGCATGGCCAATCCACCTAATCAGCACATCTTTGGACTGTGGAAGGAAACCAGACCACCCAGAGGAAACCCACACAGACACAAGAAGAATGTGCAAATTCCACACAGACTGTTGCGCAAAGATGGAATCGAACCTGGGTCCCTGATGCTGTGAAGCAGCAGTGCTAACCACTGATCCATGCGATTGGAATATTATCTCACAGTCATGGAGTAACCTCTCTATTCCATTATTTACAGCATGCATTGGATAATTTTATTTTGTCTAGCATATGTTTAATCAGAGAGTTCACTGAAATTTTGTCATGTGGCACAACAAAACTTGGAATTAAACTCCATAGCTTGACCTTGGAAATTACCTCTTCATAGCACAAACTGTCTTTGCTTAAAGCCGGTCATGGCACAAACCCAATCTACTGCAACTTTTGATCAAAAATGAGTCCAGTAACTGGAACAAGACTGATGTGTGATGAACATCCACACAATGTGTCATAAACAATGATATACTAGTAACCTCTTGGGTAACTATAGGCTAATTGGTCCGACATCTATTGATGGAAAAGTATTGGAATCAATTACTAAGGAAGTAATAGCATCATATTTGGAAAATCATAATCTAATCAAGTAGAGTCAGCATGGCTTCATGAAAAATAACTTGTGTCTGAACTAATTTATGAGAGCTTTTCGATGAAGTCTGAACCAGACAGGTTAGAGAGAACCCATTAAATGTGTTGTACTTGGACATCTGGAAGGCATTCAACAAGGTACCTCACAAAAGGTTAAGTCATAAGAGCCTACGGTGTTGGAAGTAGTACATGGATGTGGATATAGAATTGGCGGATAGGCAGGAAACAGCGACAGGGAACGAGGAGTTTTTCTTCAGGGTGGCGAACCATGACCAGTGGGGTCCCACACGGATCAGTGCTGGGACTTCAACTGTTTACAATGCACATTAATGACTTGGAAGAAAGAAGTGAATGTACTGTAGCCAAATTTGCAGATGACACGAAAATAGCTGGAAAGGCAAGTTGTGAGAGAGATACAGTTTACAAAGAGATGTTGTTTGGAAGTGAGCAAAAAGTTGGCAAATGGAGAATAATGTGGGAAAATGTGGAGTTGTTTATTTTGGGGGGGAAAAGGACCGAATATGAATTAAATGGGGAAAAACTGCTGAACTCTGCAACGTACAGAAACACAGAAAGCTACTACACAGGAGCAGCAGGTCATCAGAAAGACAAATGGATTATTGGTCCTTATTTCAAGGGGGTTGGAGTATAAGAGTAGGCAAGCCTTACTGCCACTTGACAAGGTACTGGTGTGACCACATCTGGAGTACTTTGAGATGTTTTGGTCCATTTACTTCAGGAAGGATATTATTTCATTGACAGCAGTTCAGAGAAGGTTCACGAGGAAGCTGTAATGGAGAGGTTGACTTATGAGTAAAGGCTAAGCAGATTGGGACTGTACGAAATGAAGTTTAGAAGAATGATTGATGATCTGATTCAAAAATATAGGATTCTTAAGGGACTTGGCAGGGTAAATGCTGAGACCATGTTTCCCCTCATGGGAGAATCTAGGACGAGAGGGCATAGTCTCAGAATAAAGGGGCACCAATTTAAGATTGAGAAGAGGAGGAATTTCTTCTCTCAGATGGCTGAGAGTCTTTGGAACTCCTTGCCACAGAGGGTTATGGGAGCAGAGTCCTTGTGTGTACTTAAGGCTGAAAAAGAGATTCTTGATCATTATGGAATAAAAGGTTATGGGGAAAATGCAGGAAAGTTGCAGGAAGAGTGTTGTATCAGCCATGATCCTAATCAATGATGGAACAAACTCAAGGGGCCGAACAGCCTTCTCCTGTTTCTATTCCTTATGGTCTTATATGTTGAAAGCTTAATTCAAAGGTTAAACAATTCACGACAGATGCTTAACAATAATCAGTGGGGCAAGATTTTCTCTTGCAGTTTAGGGAGGTCAGTTGAATTCTGAGATATTTGAGATATTATGTGGACATAACAAAGACCATGCAGCCTATGAAACTAACTGTGATCAGGGTTCACCTCTCATGGTTATAGACTGAACCCAGGCCCCTCTTTTTTAACCATCTCAAATAAATCTAGTTTGTCTATAAGTCATGATCTATTATTTCAAAAAGCACATGAGCTTTTCCCGATGGATATTGACATCAAAACCACATTTAACCAGGTGTGGCATCAAGGAGCTTGACCAAGAAGGCAGCACACCACCTCCTTCTCAAGGGCAAGTCGAGATGAGCAATAGATGCTGGCCGTCCCAGCAATGCCCTTGTGTCATGAGAGAATTTTAAAGAACTGTTCCCTTTAAATGCTTATTGCAAGTTGTAAAATGCCCTCAATTATTTCTTCCTAAATTGGAAGTTAAGGAGATTGTAATCCCCAAGCCTATTGGGGATAAATTTGCTATCCTTGAATTTGTTAAGTACAATCATAATAGAATACACTCCAAGCTATGCATTATTATAGATATAGCATGTTCCATCTTGTGTTTCAGATTAGCTTTTTACTGTCAGATTTAATGAAGTTTTCAATGTGCAAATAAAATGCTTGCTTTCTGTCTCACTTCTTTTTCTCTTAGTGGTGAGCTGTGGCCATCCTGGCATTCCACCTGGTGCAGAACTGTATGGTGACCAGTTTACAGTTGGCTCCACAGTGCGGTATTACTGTGAAAGAAATCGTCGCTTGATTGGAAATGCCACTCGTATCTGCCAACTGGATGGGCACTGGAGTGGATCATTACCACACTGCTCAGGTAAACATTCTTGTTTCATCACACAGGGTTCAAAACCTGTCAGGCAAAACAAACTGAAGTATTTGCTTGGATGTATTTAATGTTATATGGACGGACTGATATATTTAGATGTTAAAACAACTATTATTGCACTGATATAGAGCCATAGTGAATAATCACAAAGCATTTTACAGCAGTGTTCTCGGACAAAATTTGACACCAGGTGACACGAGACGGTGAGAAAGGTAACCAAAACTTTCATTGAAGTGGTACGTAATGGCTCTGGGTGTTGATTTAAAGGTGGGTTAGTGGGAGGAGGAAATTCCAGGGCACTGGAGCTGAGGCAATGAAGCCAAAGGAACAATGATAGAAATTGGAAATGAACAATGAATCAAAGAACCACAAAAATGATAAAGAATTATATTGGGCTGGACCAAGTGATGTTAAGGAATATCTGACATTATATGATATATAAGGTATCAAGAAGATCTGATTGAGCCTCAAGCAGTTGGACAAGGGGTAAGGATGTAAAGGAGAGGAAAGATATCTCTGTGTACAAATGGAAGCAGACCAGGACGAAATGATTAATGAGTTGTATTAAGAATCGATGAGATAAAACCTGATGTATGGATGCTTTGACTTCTAGAATTACGTATCAAGGCTATGGTGTATAATGTATAATGTGCTTCATTTCTAGTTATCGAGCTGGTACCTGGAGTGTAAAAAGGGCATCAAATGACAAAAGAAAAATGTTGTATTTAATATGGCAAGAGAAGTGAAGATTTTCAATTATCTTGAGAGAAAAAGTGAAAAAGGTGAAATAGGTTACTGGAGGTAGGATCAGGTGAGGTCTCATACCTAAACAGACAGAATGAAAAAAATTTAAAATGAAAGTGTTATGCCAAGAAGGAGAGAGGTAACTGTGGTGATCTGTAAAGGAAACTAGATGCCATTTGCAAAAGTCAAGCTGTTCTATCCACATTGCCAGCTTGGTTGTTGAACAATTGTGTAAATATAAGAGTGCAGATATTTCAGTGGGGTGGAAGTTAACAATGACCTGCTGGCATTAGTTATTGTTACTGCTCTGAAAGTGACTATGACCCAGAAATCACCATTTGTGTGTTTTATTTTGTACACCCCGCTGATGCATTCTATGACTTCATGCTTTTAACGTAGACTTTGCTGTAGACACCTTTGTACATGCCCCTTCTCTAAACAGAGTTAATAAAACATGGAATTGTGGAGGAGGAAATTTCAGGGCAGAGAGTTGAGGCAATGATGCCAAACAAACAAAGAAAGAAATTTGAAATGCATAAGAAGCCAGAACCAAGGAAACACATATGTTTCACGGTCACTGTTACTGAGACTGGCTTTTTATTTCTAGATTTTATTAACTGCATTTAAATTTCCCACAGTTGCAGTGTTATGTACATTACACCAGCATCCTCTCTTGGAAATATTTATTATGGTTGATGTACAGCCCAGTGCAAATGAACTGATTTCAGTACTAACAAACTTATTACATCTATACCTCTGCGACAGTACCAAATGAGAGTAAGGCTGTAGAAAAGAACCTAATACAGCTGGATGTTGGTCCTATCTGGTGAATCTGCTGCCCAGTAACCTAGAGCCCCAGGCTAGTCCTCTGGGGACATGAGTTTGAATTTCACCATGGCAGATGGTGAAATTTGAATTCAATAAAAATCTAAATTTTAAATAGCTAGACTTCTGGTGACTATGTGACCATTGTCAATTGTCGTAAAAACTCGATTCCTATCCTTACTTGGTCTCGCTGACATGTAACTCCAGACCCATAGCAATTTGGTTGAATCTAAATGCCCCTTTGATGTCCCCCAAAGAACCAATCAGCTCAAAGGCAATTAGGGATAGACAACAAATGCTGGCCTTGCATGAAAGAGTAACGTCGTAAAAAAGTATGCCTTGTATTTTGAGATAGTAGGAACTGCCGATGCTGGAGAATCTGAGATAACAAGGTTAGAGCTGGATGAAAACAGCAGGCCAAATAGCATCAGAGGAGCAGGAAGGCTGACGTTTCGGGTCTGCACCCTTCTTCAGAAATGGGGGAGGTGAAGGGGATTCTGAAATAAATAGAGAGAGAGGGGGAGGCGGATGGAAGATGGATAAAGGAGCAGATAGGTGGAGAGGAGACGAACAGGTCAAGGAGGCGGGGATGCAGCCAGTCAAGGTGAGTGTAGGTGGGGAGTGGGGGGGGGGGTTGAGGTGGGAGAAAGAATGGACAGGTTAGGGAGGCGGGGACCAGCTGGGCTGGTGTTGGGATGCGGTCGGGGACAGGAAGATTTTGAAGCTTGTGAAGTCCACATTGATACCATTGGGCCCTGCCCTCGACCGCATCCCAGAACCAGCCCAGCTGGTCCCCGCCTCCCTAACCTGTCCATCCTTTTTCCCACCTCAACCCCC